TTAGCTCTAGTTTTTTCCCGTATGTGTGTGTGTGTGGGGGGGGAGAGCTATAAAAGGGATAGTCTGCTTACAATAACTTGCTTTATTTCTTCTGATCTTCCAATACATCAGTTTCAATTACATTGGTTCAATCAAGCAGTTTCAGTACATCAATTCAATTGGTTATCTTAGCTTACATTTTCATTTTCTCGGCAAAAAAGTTTTGTCATCAAAAATTTTTAATAGACAGAGCATCATCAGCGACATTTTAGCAACCTTTATCAAACTATCTCTAACTGTAATTTCTGATTTTAATCACAGCAAAATCTATATGATATATTTACTTTTTGTTAAATGCTAATTGTTTAAATGAAGAAGAATATTACAACTTTTCATAGTTAGAGATAATTTGATTAAGATAACTAAAATGTCACTGATGATGTTCTGCCACTAAAAAGATTCTTGATGCCAAAAAAATTGGAAATGTAAAGTGGAATAATTGATAAGCAACCATAAGATATTCACTTTATCTTGTTATGTATCAAATGCGCAAAGACATTCTTGTACCTATACATTTATTGTAGCATTCATGAAAAACAACACCAGATAGTATAACATAGACTTTTTAAGTCTTCAATTATCGGGGCAGTTAATCCTTCCAACTTGACAAATAGAATTGTATACGATGAGTCTTGCATGCAACCATTTTTTAAGTGCAAACTGTCATTTATTATTATTCCTTGTGCAAAAGCTGATCTTATTAAAAAAACCTACACCAACTGGTTTTTATTTATATTCTAAGTTTGACCAACTTCAGGAAATGCTAAATGTCAAATAATGGAGTGTATAAAAATTGCAATGCCAGGTGAATGGAAGAAAAAAAATTGGTCTGAAATTATAAAATTAGTGTCTTTGTTATTAAAAGCCTGCATTTAATATTATGTAAGATTTTTTTTTGGGGGGGGGAGCATTTTAGACATAAAAATTGATGTATTTTCATAGGCCAATTCACATTTGGTCATAATGTTCTGCTAACAACTGAAAGCAGTAACCAATTGTAAAAGTTCCATCAATAATGAAAGCAAATGGAGATGCTGCCAAACTTACACCAACCATACTGCCAAAAATTTGAAAAAACAAACCACTTTTTATAGATGATTAACAGATGTGAGTTAAGAATATGTCGTATACAGAATTTAAATTAGTTATTATAATTTTTTTTGTGATGCATTGCTTCTATTTATACATTTTGAAGTAAAATTGCATAGTATGCTGATTAATGCAACTTTTCTTGATACTAAAATCCCATAACTAATCATATTTTCTAACTGCAAGGGAAAGTCAAAGCAGTTAACCCAGGTATCCTTCTTTAAGATATAGAGACTTATGATTATTTATTAACTTAGATCTTATGATTATTTGACAGCAACATCTTAAATTGAAATGTGTAATTGCATTCACATTTTAAATGTTATAAGTGGGATTCTGAGTCTTAAATGTGTCTTTTGCAAAATGCTTTTACAAGTTTCTCAAAGGCGTAATTTTTTGTTTAAAAAATTCTTAAATATTTCAGTTACTTGAGCTTTCTGGCTACTCGAATGCTGGATAGTCAAGCTTTTACTATATTAATTTTTTTTGGTAAGAAATCTGGCCTTTTTTTGGCTTATTGGCTTTTCCTCTTTTTGATTTGCATTATTAATTTCCAGTACTGTACTTATCAGTATGCTTTGAAAATAAAATGGTAATGACATTATGGCTCTTGTTCAGAATATCATCAGCACAATATTTATATGATCTGTAAGTTATTGTTCAAATGTAAATTTCTTTTAGGTCACAGGAAACAAAATTTAATCTGTGATATGTCTTTGGTAATTGACGATTAAAGAATTCTTATCAAAATATTTCAACGTGTAACTTTTTATGAAAGTATACCAGAATGTGAACATATAACATTAATGTGTCTGTATAGTATATTTTATTCCATTACAACAGTAGTAAAACAAAAATATGTTCCTTAATTCCCTCTTTTTTTCCACCAATGCATTTATTTTTTATTAGAACTAACAATGCATCTTAATAAAAATGAATATATAAAGAGGGAAAATAAATTATCTTGTACAATAAACTCTGCTTACATTTGGAGAAAAGTAGCTCAAAACTTCACCTTCTGTTTCTCCTCTCATCTTCTCTCTACTGATAATAAAATGGTTTGTTTTTGCTTGTTGAAACCCAGTATGGAAGGTTAACAAACTCCAGTTCATTGGTTTATCACATGATTTCATTTTATTCTTTAGTTTGAGAATAATTAATGCTTATCTGGTTAGTCGGAAGGAAAATACTATTGATTTTATAATCAGAAAAAAATTAAATATTGAGTAAAAATTGCTGTTTGTTCTGATTTTAATACATCTATCTATAAGCATGGCACTAGTATCTGAAGAAAAGCTTGTTGCATAACTAACTTTCAATGGATTTTAAGTATGTGGGTGTAAAAGTTAAGTGCAAATACTGTAGCAACATTTCAATCAAAAGTGCAGTAAAAATTGAAACATTTGAAAAACTGCCATGAAAATATGCAAACCATAAGTTAAGCTAGTATTCCTGATATGCGGTTGGGATTTCTAACTAAAATAATGAGAGCAGAAGCATTTGTTACAAACAGTTATACAAAACTTTGAATTTTCAGTAGAACTGAAAGGTTTATATTTTCATATAATGTATCAACAATTTCTCAGAAACATGATTGGAAGAATGTAGCAGACATTTTTTATGTTCATAACTTTGCTGTTAATATTTTTAAAAATGCAGAATTCAATTGAATAATCTAAGATCTGGTTAATGTTCCTTCAAATAGACAATAGTTTTTGGAAATTGGCTAAATAAAGTTTATGATGATGATGAAAAATGCTATTTAAATTGATGTTGAAGGAAAGAATACTGAGGTGAAGGAGTAATTATTTTTGTTCTTTATTACTGATCTAACTCAATGATCTAATCTTTGCATGCAGTATTCAGTCTGTAAAGAAAAATTTCTCTATTTAAGCAGTTGATTGTGGCACAGAAAGGGAGGCGAAAAACTGGCATGCTGAGCTTCTTTTGCGGTAAGAGCAGTAGTAGAACCCAAGAAATGTAACAAAGATGATTTTGTGATTTGTGAAAATAAAATGAATAATACTACGAGAAGTATATTAAAAATGTAAGTCATATAAAAATGATTCTGATCATCATTATTTGGTGTGTGTGTGTGTGTATATATATATATGTAAGATATAACAAAATATGATAGCTTTTTCAAAAAAATAATTGGCGACCTCAAAATTAACATTCTAAATTTGGTGATCTGCCCCTAAATTCATCTCTTCTCACAGGTTCCAGATTTTTCTATCTTCTGTAATGTTTTAATGCAGATACCTCTTGTTCAATCAAATTAATTGTAAACCAAAACTCTGAACTGAAACTTTTCCATGTCCCACCCTTTTTCCTCTGAAGTGCTATAATATTTCCCCCTTTTTTTCGTATAAGCTCTCCTGCCGGCAAGATGTTTTTTATCTATGCTGCTGCTGCTTACTTGCTTAAAACAACATCATACTTCAAAATGCAATTTACTGTATTCAAATATAATTAGGAAACATCTTGTCTGGAAAAGGATGATTTGATATGCATAAAAAAAAATAAAGATTATTATTTTTCAAGATACGTTGTGCTAAAGTGCATCATCATGCTACCTTCAATTCCTTGCTTTCCTATCTACCACCTTCAACCCACTACGATATTCTCGGTCATCTACGCAGTATCGTAAGCTTTTAAAGTTCCTACGCATTTAAAAATCATTACATATATATATAAATAAAGGTTGAAATGAAAATTATACACACACACATGTATATGTATATATACACACATGTAACACCAGATGATTTGACAACATATGCTGTAGAAATATGGAAGTAGTTTAAAAATAAATGTCATTCTCATAGTTGGTGACAAGAAAAAGGGATGGACTGAAGTCTGAATTTCTAAATGCAAGAAATAATTTACAAGAGAGTTTCAATCATACGTTGCATATTTTCTTAAATATGATGAAATAAGACAAGCATGTGCAAAACTTTGAATTGCATATTGAACAAATTTTGTATAGTATAAAAATGTATGCAGAATAACTTTACTTGCTTAATCAGTAGAATGTCATTGCAATAAGTTTTAATAAACTGTAGTGTGACAGTGTTGCTTTCTTAACAACATACAAGGAAAGATCCATCTTTGAGTAAATATTTAGAGCAATTTTACTTTTTGGTTTACATAACTAATCCAATGTACTTTAGAGCATGATTAACTACTGAGAAGGGAGAAAAAGAAAAAAAGAAAAAAAAAAAAAAAAAAAAAGTGTTCAAGAGAAGCATCCAGACTCTTTGTTTTCATAAATATAGAGATGGAGGGAAAGTATATAAGAAATTAAATTTAAAATTGCTACAACAAGAATATTTGTATTTTTTTTATTGGAAATGTATGTGTATGAACAATAGTTGTCAAAATAAGGGTCTGGCAAGAACTTTTTTGGCCTTGATGTATATCAGTGTTTCGCAACCGGTGGTGCCATGAGTAGGATATATGTGTGCTGCAATCAAATACATGTATTTGACATTTTGCAATTTTTTATCATGTATTTAATACACAATGACAATTTTTTTTCCTTAATAATGTCTATTTTAAATGTTTTTATATATTTCACTGTTGTGTGGTTGCGTGTGTGATTGTAAGTGTGTCAGCATTTGAATTTTTTTGGCACTTCCTTGATAACTCGGAACTCTTTGGTGTACCACGAAATTCCAGAAAGATTTTTTGTGCGTCGCAGGTGAGAAAAGGTTGCGGAGCACTGATGTATATATTCACTAATTGCAACAGCTTATAATAATTTGATTTTTCCATTCTTTTCTTCCTTTGTTATTTTTTGTTGTTATTAAAGAATTAAAACTCTATGTATATATGTAATACTTTTATATCTGTTAAATATTATTATTCAGTAGGCCTAATCTTCAATCTTGGGATGAAGATGAAGAGGAGGAATTGAAATATGGTGCAAAGCATGTAATAAAGCTCTTCATTCCTGTTTCTCTGTGCATGTTGGTAGTGGTTGCTACTACAAGTTCTATAACATTTTACACACAAACTAATACATATCTGTAAGTAACTTCCCTTATGTTTTGAAAACTGATATTTGAAAAAAAGGACATTTTTTAAAACACTCGTGTTGTTGAAATGTTTTTCAGTCATTTTTTTTTCTTCGGAGACAAATATTTTATTTTTATGGTTAATGTGATAAATTAGTTTCTAAGACTATGTGAAAGTATTTAAATTTGCATTAATATATTTATTTATTATTTTTGTATTTTATATTAAAATATGCATGAATTTTAAATAAGAATTTCATTTGAATGTTTTCTTTAATAATGTGTAAAATAGTCTTGCAAGACTGCATATCTCCACTCGTTTAAGTATTTCAATATATTAGCAAATTTTTTATTTCTAAACCAATTTTTCTACATTACATAACATTCTAAATAAATTATCTGTGGCATTTTTACATTCAATTTTGACTATTCAGTGTTTGTATTGTTGAGAATTTAATTTCATACTACATCAGAATAAATGTCATTCCAGAAAACTCATTAAATTCGCAATAAATAACAGTAAAATAGCTAATTTAAGAAGTAAGCTAATTTAATAAGTATTGGGTCATCTTTTATTTGCAACAAGGTAATAAATGCAGTTCTGCAATGAATTCATCAGCTGTTGAAGCAGTTTTATCTCAATAATCATGTGCATACTTTATTGCTTTCTTGAATTACTCTACACTGACAAGCCAAAACATTATGACCATCTCTGCATTTTTCATTGAACTCTTCTGGATTATGTTGAGGGCACGTGATTAAGTGGGAATGGTATTTAACTGTTGCTGGAGAAGGTAAGGAATCATTCTTGCACTTACTTTTGCAAATGATGGGAAAGGCTGCTGACATAAGCGAATTTGGTAGAGGGCAGATTAATGGTTCGAAGACTCAGAACAAGTATCTCCGAAACTGTGCAACTGGTAGGCTGTTCATGATCTGCCATTATTAATATTTATGCCCAGTGGATAAATGATGGTGAAACCAGCAGTAGATGCCAAGGTGTTGGATGTCCACACATCATCAGAGAAAAAGTACATTGGAGACTGTCCCGTTTGGTACAGCAAAATCAGTGCTAGAGAGTGGCTCAGCTGATAGCCCAATAAAATCTAGGCCCAAGTACAGGTGCTTCGGAACACATTGTTCAGCGGACACTGTTGGATATGATACTGTGCAGCAGACAACCCATTCATGCGCTTCTGTTGTCCAAGCATCATTATCAACTAGGCTTACAGTGGGCCCAGGAACATTGAGACTGGACCATGAATAAATGGAAGACATTTGCCTGGTCGGATGAATCATGAGTTCTCATTAATCACGTCAATGGTCATATCAGGGTATGCCGTGTTCCAGGAGAACAGTTGCTCCTCCCTTTGAACAGGTCATACTTAGGCTAGTGGTGGCAGTATTATGCTTTGGAGGACATTATCATGAGTTTCTGTTGGACCCTTAGTTATGGTACAACAGACCATGAAAGCTCCAGACTATTTGAGCATAATTGCAGATCAGTTGCACCCTTACATGGCATCGGTCTGCCCAACTGGAAATGGAATTTTCCAGCAGGACAATATCCCATATCACAAGGCTCGAATTGTGTTGGTAGTGGTTTGAGGAGCATAATGATTAATGTCCTGGCCACGTAATTCGCTGGATCTTAACTCAATGGAGCACATTTGTGATGTCATGGAGTGGCAGCTCAGAGCTCAAATACCACCATGTCAGAATATCTCTACTTTGCATGATTGCTGCTTGAATGTCTCCAGTCATCTACCAAAAACTTGTGGCATCCATGCCAAAGTGAGTTGCAGCTGTTTTGCAGGCCAAAGGTCATGCAGTGTAGTATTGAGTAGGTGGTCATAATGTTTTGGCTCTTTAATGTGTATGCACTTGCATAGTTTATCATTAACATATGCACAGCACACCTTACTTAAACCTCTTGCAATCCAGAATCCAAGTGGCCACTCTAACCCTTTGATCTGGTATTGACTGATCTGCTGCTTTATGACATTACTCCTGTGTATGATGGCATTATCTTGCTCACAACAATATGTTGACATAACTAAAATAGTTAAAATCAGAGGTAGATGTAAAATTTTTGATATATAATGTTTATGTACTTTTAATTATTTAAGGAACTTTAATGTAAGAGTTATTTAATCATAATCATCAAAACAGTGCTTCTTTAAAAAGAATTAAATTTCAGATTTTTAAAATTAAGATTACATTAAAAATTTTGATGTTTAACCTCTAAAATTTATTTCTGATGAGAAAGTGATTGAAAATTTTGTATGAATGTGATTTGTCATTGTTTTCAGCATAACATAGTGTTTGCAAAAGTTACAAGTAAAAATTTTAGAACTACCTATTAAACTAGGAAAGAGAAATTAAAAAAAGAACAGCTTAATCTGCAATTTGTTGTATTAAACTTTTTATTCTCGAATTGATATAAATTATGAAAGACCATTATGTTTTCTGAAATAAGTAACTTAACAAAAGGTTTTGCTTTTTCATTGGTATTTAAAAATTCCTTAAGTACATCCTTGAATGTTAGTGAAGTAATCAGTAAATGTAAATAAAAGGAAACGGATTGATATTAAAACGATGTACTAGACTTAAAAGCACATAATAAAGGGAGGAAATTTGGTATATAAGTGGTGAATTTATCTCCATATTTTGTTAAATTGGTGAGAAAAATGTTAAAGCTAGAGTTAGATATTGTGAGGAATGCATATTATGCAAAGTAATCATTTGTTGCAGTTGGGTCAATTTATGCTATAAAAATGTTGATAACCTGTTAGTGTAGATTATGGTTTCTTAAACTTTTTTCAATCACAACCTTTTTTATCACCGAGATTCTTTCGTGACCCCCAGGACCCATTAATATTTCCGAAAATTTTGTGGGATTCCATAAGCATTGCGCAAATCCGACTCACGCATGTGTGAAACTGTCAATTTTTTCACTTGTACTGTATTATACTATTGCAGTTTTATGTCATTAACTTTAATTTCGAAATTTAAGACATAGAACAATGTGTAAATTTTAAATAAGTAACAGACGAAGTGACAGCGTCACTTGCAAAGCAAGTAAAATAAAAGTTTCTATTATAAAAAGAATGCATTGAAATGTTTTTCTTTGTCTGTATTGTCTTTATCTATTTTCAGATACATTGTGTAAAAATATTTGGTAATTGTAAAATTATTATTATAATAATTAAAAGAAATACCAAAGCTGCTAAATTTTTTGGCGACCCCCTGCTGCAGGTGGGGGTTGCTACCCACAGTTTAAGAAAAGTTGGTCTAGATGTATAGCTAGCCGAGAAGTTTGTTTCTAAAGTACTTTCTTTGCAAAGATCATAATAATAACAAATAGGAAGGAGTTGTCGATATTAAAAAAATAAATTAATAATTACAATACTGAAAAATCAGTATTGTATTGCAGAAGAGCAAGTGCAAGTTTGTTATGCATAAAATGCCTGTCAAAATAAAAATATTTAAAAAAAAAAAAAACTTGCAAAAACTTGAATTTGTTTTGAATTTTTAAGGTATTATACGTCTCTACAGTTGTCAGGGCTTAAGATTTTTTGGGGGGTGGGTTGTGTATGGATCATGTATATTGTCTGAAGTTTTAATGCAGGTAATATGTTATTTATATTTCAGTTGTAATTTTATGTGTTTTTGAATGCATATTTCTGCTTCTATATGTCTTATTCAAATTAAACATTGCTGTATAATATTGATCTAATTTTTAATATTACTTTTTAATACCATTAAAGTAATTTCATACTCTTTATGTTCTCTTTTCTTAAAATAAACTCTTTTTTTTTTTTTTTAAATAATGGCATATTGATTTAAAATTGAATTTTTTATTCCTTTTAGAGTATATACACCATTTACTGACCAAACTGTCGACACACCAACAAAAGTATGGCAGTCCTTTGCTAATGCTTTTATCCTAATGGGTGTCATTGTTTGCATGACCATACTTCTAATATTACTGTATAAATTCCGTTGGTATAAGGTAAGTACATGTGTGAGTATAAGGTATAAAGATGTGAATATGAAATTGTTATGCATTCAAACTGCAATTGCAGTTTTCTCTGTGATAGAAATATGAAATATATGTATCACCACCATATAGTCATAGTTTTCCTTTATTTTAGGTTATTCACGGATGGCTTATTGTTTCTTCTTTAATGTTGTTGTTTCTTTTTGCATACATTTATTTGGGGTAAGAAAGTTATGTTTATTTTATTTAAAAATTTTTTCTTTGTTTTGAAATTGTATTCTTTATTGTGAAAAATAACTTTTTTTTGACATATATTGAAATTCTCTGCTCCCAGAAACATTAGTTTGATCATGCTATCAAGTTAGCTACTAAGATATGCAGTATATGTTATTTAGCACATTCTGTAATTATATTAGATTATCAGAAAAGTTCTATCTATCTTGCAAACATAAAGGATCATATATTTGTATCTATAATGATCACTGAAAATCAAAAGTTGATCACTGAAAAAAGTAGGCACTGTCCATAATTCATTCTGCCACCTTTTGTGGGAAATTTTGGATTCTCTTCCTTTAGAAATGAACAGGCTTAGAAACTGAGACTTAGCCATTCATTCAGGTTGATTTTGTTGATGAAGGTTCATTCCTCAAGTCTGCTGCGGAGCAATTGAAAAAATATGGTAATCTCTCAGCAGAAAATGTGTATCATATCATAAATAAACTAACTTTTCCATCCTAACTAAAGTAATCTCAATTGGATTTTTCAAGCTTCATTCCTCAAGTTTGCTGCTTAGCAATTGAAAAGTGTGGTAATCTCTCAGCAGAAAATGGTATTATATCATAGATAAACAAACTTTTCCATCCTAACTATATGCAGTCATATTGTTAAGTAAAAATCCTGAAGGAATTCTGTAAACTTATTTCTCTGAGTTTATTAGCAAGATTCAAAGTAACTGACAATGTAATCTGGTAATAATGCTGATGTGTAATAGGAATAGCATGAATCCTGTCAAAAGCATAGCATGAGTTTACACTATGCCTTTGTTTTGGCTAAAGCTATATCAGTTCGTTCTTCATCTGGACTTGCTTATGCTTAGTATTAATGTGAGAGACATTGCTTTTAATTTCATTTAATGATGAAATTAAGCTAAGCATCGGTTTTTATTGATTGCAGCAGCTTCTGCACACTGATATGGATAATTTTTGGATATGTCATGCAAAATAAACAATTAAAGCTTGCATTAGATGCAAACTAGGCAAGTAGTGGTTGTCAGGGGTGTTATGTATCTATAAATTTTCTGTCAGCTCACCCACAGGCATGGATTTGCTTTGACAGGCTACTGCAATATATTATAGACTAGTGCCAAAAGCTGTCGTCTGTATCAAAAGTGCCATCACAGAAACATATGAATAATATTTTAAAGTGCATTTGCACACAGCGACGGTGTCAAATATAGTATTAAAGCAAAATCTAGGCTTGACGTAATTAAGCTTGGATTTGAATTTGTCAAATAGTCAGCAAAGGATATGCTTGAAAGATTCACAGAATCTGAATGTGCTTTTGTATTGTTTCATGGCCGCCAAGACAAAACAGCATAGCTACCAACTCTCCTGGAATCTTCCGGTTTTTAATGTTTTAGCTTTTATTAAGGAAAGATATTAAGCAAAATGTTTCTGAATTACGGTGAGAACTGTAACTGTACAAATTACAAATTATAAAGCTTAAATTGTGCAAACTGCACCCATAGTGAATTTCAAAATTTTTCTTCCTAAATTTTATTTCATGTAAATTGTATTATTTTTCTCTATTGCATTTACAATCTTTTTCTTATTAAAATTTCATTTGATCCCAAATTGTCTTAACACACTATAGATATTTGTAGACCTTTATATGAAGGATCAAACAATGTTTAATCAGTTAATATTCATATTTAATTTAATTTTACTTTACTTTATGGTACATTATAAAGTTTATCCACAAATACTCTCCACATTAATTGTTAATTTCATCATCATCATTTTAAAACTCTGATAAATTAAAGCTTTCTTTCCCTACTCAGGATTTTCTTAGTATAAAAGTGTAAGAATATTAATAATTAAAATTAGTCAAAGAACAGGAAATTTAGAATATCTAATTAAATATTTGTATATTTCACTAGACTCGTATTATTAATAGTTCAATACACATGGAATTTGTTTGAAATTCGCTTGCATTGCTGCAAAAAATCTCCATAAAAAATAAAGCATAAAAAATCTCCTAGTTTCTCCCTCTTTTCACACACACACACAAATCACACAATTTCTCAGTTTTCAAGGTTGGCAGATACTGCATTGTGGTTAGTGGTGCTGACAGCTGTGCCGATGGACCCAGGTTCAAATTCTGAAAAAATAATGGAATAATAATAGTGTCTATGCAGCAAGGGGGCACTAAAAATACACGGCAGTCTAAAAGACCTCTCGAGAGGCTGGTCGTATACAGGAAGAGGGGTAGGAGACCCTCAGACCCCTCTCAAAATTGGGGCGAAACTAGACAATTAGTGCAGTGGGACTATACTTGTGTGGCCAGTTGTCAAATTTTGGTATCCCGTCCACATTTACTTGTATTGTTCCAGAACTCAAACTCTTATTCATCCATTATCAAAAATTTTTAGAATATTATGGGGACTAGATTTTTCTTGCATCAAGTTCTGAATGTTAGGCTTTTTCACTAATCTACTATTTCAGAATATTTTATTAAAGCAAAGGTTTGAAATTTTGTAACAAATATTGTAATTTTTTAGAATGATTCTTCACAGACATTAAAAATTTAAATGTTTCTACACTTCTAATGTGGAATTTTAATATCAGTTAGTCATAATACTTCACCTCATTTAATTAGAAGTTAACATTATACATGTGTAATCATCATTAATTCCTTTATGCCATACACATAAATGACATTACAACTTTGTGCTGTGAATGAAAACGATGCATAGTACACTAATTGATGTTATGGTAAGCACATGACATATTTTTGTATTTTAGACTTATTATATTTCAATTGCATAATTTTTTAAAATAAAATTCACTAAAATAAGCCAGATAATCATTTTAAAAATTTGCATAAATGAAGATATTAATTTATTTACCAATAATTTTCATCTCTTTTTATATTATTAGTAAACTTCCTAATGTTTTGCAAGTGTAAGAAGTTTTATATTTTATGTAAATATTGCAGCCATTTATAGATTATTGATTATTACAGTGAGGTACTCAGAGCTTATAATATTCCTATGGATTATATTACTGTATCAATCATCATGTGGAATTTCGGAGTAGTTGGAATGATATGTATTCATTGGAGAGGACCTCTGCTTTTGCAACAAGCCTATCTCATTCTAGTTTCTGCTCTAATGGCTCTGGTGTTCATCAAATATTTGCCCAACTGGACAGCATGGGTTGTTTTAGGAGTCATTTCAGTATGGGGTATGCATTGCAATTTGTTTTCTGTAATTATGAAAGTGATGAGAAATATTGATTTTTTTTGTCAAGTTAGAGATAAGTATTCTAAAACATTATCATTAATTTGAAGTATATTCATGGTATGAAGTGAATGAGGAAGGAAATTTTACTTCAGAAGTTATGCAAGGTGAAAACATGCTAAAAGGTTTAAAAAAGGTTAAAAAAAGTGAGGTATGCCTGAGTAACACATGCCTACAAAAGTATTGATAACATAACCTAGAAAAACAGCAATCATAATTGAGAGAGGCATATACAGTTAGTAATGAAATTTAATAAGGAAAATTAACATAGATATATTAATGGCTTAAGAAAGAGTATGGTCCCCACACAAACACAGATGTCGAAATTTATTTATTCTGGTGAAGCACAAGACTGAAGAAGTTGCACAGACAGTAGAGTTACACAGACTAGACTGCCGGAGAAAACTCGTCTTTCCCCATCAGCCCGTAAGGTTGTCGTGCAGATTTACTGTTTCACCAATTGGCAGTTTTGTCTGGAGTTTTTTAGTTTGTATTGCCTGTTTGGCACTGCCGCTGCAAAAGGTTTAAAATATACAACCATTTTTAAGTGAAAATTAATGGAAGTAATCGTTACTCAAGATTTGCTAAAAATTGTTTTTTAAATTCAAGTGTAGAATGTGTAAATTAAGGTTTTAAATTAGACAAATGGAAGTGCAACTCTTGCATCCTGTCTTTTAACTGTTCCACATTCAAAAATTTCTCTTTGATATAAATGTTCATTATGTTTACAGAGAATTTTCAAAAACATCTCAGAATCTTTATAGCTTTGTCATTGATATATATTCTTTGAATGGAAAGAGACTTGATAACTGTAGACTCAAGAAAGAGCAAAGAAAGCATTTGTCATGCCTGTAATCATGAAATGGTAGATCAGCTAAATAGACAAATTACAGGGTTTATGTTAACTAAAAACGTGAGTTTTGAAACTGAATAAATCACTAGAAGAAACTTTTTCTTTTTTTAAATTTGTCATGTGCTTGTAGCGTATCAAAAATAAGAGCAAAACAACTTGCGCCTGGAATAAAAGGATAAAGTGTTAAAATGTATTGACATTATGTGCAAGTGCAGCCACACACACACAAAAACTGCATTTTAACTGGGAATTTCCCAAACAGCACTGGGCATTTTACTTAAACAAGGAATCATAAGCTGATATAAATGTAAATGCCTTAAGGAAATGCAAAAGAGATAAAAATTTCAGAGACACTGAAGCAGTATAAAATCTGGAAGCTCTCAGATTTATTTATTTATTTTTAATGATCTATTTGAGAAGAAAACTATTTACATGACTGGAAATCTGGAAATTGGCATATTTATTAGATATATTCTCTGTTATAAATTATCTCAACTTACCATTGCAAGGCAAATAATTTCATTGTTTTATGTTCGAGATAAAGTGAATGCAACTATTACAAAAGAGAGTTGGTAGTGGAGAAGTGGTCTCATTTCTCCTCTCATCATGAGTTTATAAGCTCAACTGATAAAATTGATGTGGATATTCTGAAATGTACAATACAGCATTTACAGAATTTACAAGTGGGCCTAAAAAAACATTTTCCTGATTTAAAAAAAAAAAAAAGAATTACTGGGTGAGATATTAACTTTAGTAAAGGAACGCTGCCCCCCCCTTTTTTTTTTTTTTTTTTTTTTTTTTTTTGTTTGCATTTCCAGCCAGTCATTTTTACAAACAAATTGTGATATTTTTGGCCTTATTTTTAAAATATAAGCTTGTGGAATTTGCCAGCAATGGCTGAAAAAAAAAAAAAAAAAAACTATGGTAAAATTTCTACAATAATACTGAATTTTGCTGAAAATTTTCTAAAGGGAACTAACTACAAGGAAATGTGTTTCCTTGACAGCCGCTGTTGCTGAGAGTTGCACGAAGCCAAATCTCTGAAATTCTCTGATTTTTTTAAAGCAAAAACAGATCGCCATGTACTTTGAGAGAATAATAGCACAAAACAATTACAGAAAGATTTGAGGAAGAATGTAAGTGTTGTATCATGTAATCCTTATTTAATAATATTTGTATTTTAAATTGCTAAAGTATGTTTTCTTTTCATATGTTGATAATGTTTGCTGACTTATGATAAATACCAATAGTTTGGGAATCTTTCTAAAAAGAAGTACAAAAGCCACGAACTTGCACCTGATAGATAATTTTTATCTTTTCATCTGTAAAAAAATGCCATATTGCACCAGGGAGACTGCATTTACCCTAAAAAGTACTGATCAAGAAAGCTATCAGGATTTTTACAAAATTGAGAATATAATTGAAAAATTGTTAATGAACAATGCATAACAAACATAAGTTTGGAAAAGATAAAATTTCATCTAGAACATAATTATAAAAATGCTTAAAGCAAAAATTAAAAAATGAATTTCAAAATTGCATAAATAGTTTAATAGTATTTTCAGGCTAATTATTGAATTAGTTATTATTTTGTTAGATAAAATTATAACTGTATCACAATTTGCAGTGCACAAATCACAGTTTACTAAACTTGCTGCTTAATAAATCAAATATACTTGGAATGGAAGCAAGTGGCAGGTACTTTATATAATTTACACACTGTTATATACATCTGTTATCCCTATTCTGAAAATAATTATCAATCAGAAAATTCTGTGTGAATATAAGTTCAGACCTATTAAAGTGCAGATAATCACACAAGAAAAAAATAAAATGGAAAAAGAAAAAATAAACTTGTTCTTCATGTTCATTAGTTATATGTTTTTCAAACTAATATTTTTGGTTGTATTGATTTCAGATTTAATTGCTGTGCTATGCCCTAAAGGACCTTTAAGAATTTTAGTTGAAACTGCTCAAGAACGAAATGAACCAATTTTCCCTGCATTGATATACTCTTGTAAGTTTTAAATTTTTGTTTTATATTCTGTTCATGTAAGAGTAGTTTCTTTCGTGGTACTGGGAAGCCTTATGTCGAAGTATATAAATATAGGTAATGTATGTCAGTTTTGGTGTATAATAATATTCAATATTTTATTAGCATAATTTTTTTTGCATAAAAAAGACTTTTGGAAGAAAATAATAGAAGGTTTACCTTTTTCATTGGCAAAATTTATTATGCCTGCATATAGATAAGTTTTAATTAATATGATGAAAGGTTCTTGTTATCATCTATAACAAATAAACCAGATTCATAAAGTAAATGCAATAAAAATATGTGTTGCATAATGGGTTCAGATTGAGAATCATTATCTGAAAAGTAGCAGTTGTTAAAGAACTCAAAGGCATCTAATTTATTAGTTAAAGTTTTTCTAAATAATTTAGCATAACAAAAACTAAAAAAGTTGGTCAAATTATCATTATCTTTAGTCTAGCAGCAAGCATGCCTTCTATCCTGGAATTAGCTGAAAGGGGACAAAGCTACAGCTGCTGTTTTCTTTAGTATTGTGTCATCAGGAATGTTTTTTTAAGTATGAGATCATTGGACATCAGTATTTGTTAACATATACTCTACAAGATTTTGGGACAAAAGCAAACAAGAAAAGAAATAGAGGTAAAAAACTTTTTTGAGAGAGGGGGTAGTCTATACGTACTTTATTTGGATGGAACTAACTGCTTCTAAGCCAAACTTTTTGCTCAGTATATATTAGACCTCTAATATTTTTTTCATGTCTGTACTAATTTGTTTCCAGCATATAATTGTCTCTTTCCACTTCATGTTTCAAATTTTGCAACTTCACTCTATCATAGTTTTTTCAAGTGCAGTTTTTATAATGTCTAATCGTATGTTTAATTGTCTCTTAAACTGTCTAATATATTGGATAATACAAGTGTAATGCTGACTAAAAGGTGTTATTTCATTTCTAAAGACTCTAATAATGTTAAAAGTAACTTATTTAGATCGTAAATAGGTATTCTATGCTCTAATTATGAAAATATTCGATTTATAAATAAAGAATCTTACTTTGTGAAAATTCACTTATCATAATAGAGTCTGGAACTGATTAACCATAATAAATGAAGGCCAGCGTACTCCAAATTCTTCTAAACTTAAATGTTTCAAGTGTTTACTGAAGGTTTTTTAGACTATTCTGTTTATATGGTTAGACTAGAAAAATTATTTATTAGCGGCACTTGGTCCTTTGTGTATTCTACAATAATTAACCTAATTTCCAAATGTCACAATTCTAAATAATTAACTCTCTACACATCTGTTCAAAACATTCATGATAAATGTGCATGGGCATAAAACTTGCTGTGCATGAATTTGGCTCTTAAAAGGTATTGGCATATTCTTTGTAGCAGAAATGTATAAAATGACACCATTAATGACAACTTTGTTCATGTTTTAGAGGAAATGAGCATGCAGTTATCTTTCACCCATTTGGCATGTTGTCATATTTTGAGTAAAAATGCTTGGGTTTCCTTGATATGAAACAGACCTTGTCACGTTGGCCATTGGCCAGGTCTTTGACACTGTTTCGGATTCAGCCATATTGATGAAAAGAACAGTGATGTCAACGAGTGAATCACCAAAGATTCAGTCGTTGACACCACTGTTCTTTTTATCGATATGGCTGTATGGGTCGATGTTTTTGGACAATTCAATGTATCCAAAACAATATGATTGCTAATCTATGACAGGAACCAAAAGAGGTTATTCTCTCAGTACTTCTAGAAATGACAGTAATGCATTTCAGTAGATTCTACTTTTAAGGTGACTGAATAGTATTTTTTTTTTTTACGAATTCAACTAGAGCTGTTGTACAAGATTTTCCCATATAGTTTTTATTTATTTTTTAAACAGTGTTTTCATGTTGCAAACAATTTAGAAAAATTATAATATTACTATTGTTTAAATTTTGTTTGGTTGATTTTATCTACATAGTTTTCTGATTTTTGTGTTTTACAACAACATTAGCTGCTATGGCTTGGTATGTAACAATGAGTGATAGTGATCATACTGTTAGAAACAGAAGACATTCTGATGGAGACGGAAATCCTAATGAGCCAGGTAAATTAACAATACCGTGTTTTTTATAATAATAAGTCTTAGTAAGAATTATGAATTACTTGTACTGAATTCAAATTTGCTATAAAATTATTTTCAGATGTTTTTTTTTCAAACATTAGTTATCTTTGTTTTGTATATACTTGTGCTTATCTATTAAATTCAGGTTTGGTCCAAATCTATGTTCATTTAGAGATTGTAATTGTCAGTTTTATAAATTTGTTTTATTTAGACTGAAATGTTATACATTTCATTTTTAGTTACTCCGCTCCTGTTAATCATACCTCTGGCCATTAAAATTGTTAACAATATGAAGGAACATGCAACAAACCAAAAATTTTTATGAAATTTAGGACATTCTGGGATATGCAGATGATTGGCGTTTCACGGAATGCACATGTTATAGGCAAGAGTAATGATTATGTTCAAAGAAGTATAAAAAGACTGTTTTTTCATTCAAGAATAAACTTTTACTGAACTAACTTTAACTACTTTAACTAACCAATTTTTATTTTGGAAGTCATGTTCTGCTTCATGTAAGAAGAAACTCATATCAGCACATTTAAGAATTGGAGTGTGGGAAAATGTTAGCCTGCCGGGACCTTATTGTGCAGTGGATGCTGATGTTAGTTAAGATTTATTAACTATTATGAGAATGTGCAGTCACCAAGTCAAGAAGGGCCACACAAGCGATGGATAGAATCTGAACAGGAGTCACACACTACTACTTGGGATGACAGATATCTTTGCATCACTGTTAGAAATCATACCGTCACATCATATACCCTAGATCACGATACTGGGTGTTGAACAGCAGCAAATATGTGCGCAAATGATAGCAGTACTACATGCCACAGATTTTCAGCAAAGTGACCATAGTTTTATCTTCTCTTGATGCTACAGCACAAGAATCAGGACCTACAATGATGAATTCAGCTATGCACATGAACATATCATTGACTTTTTGATAAATCCTGCTTTTGCTTGCAGCATCACGATGGCTATATCCATGTATGGAAGCACAGAGAAGAATGAATGTTAGAAGCCTTCATTCTTCAACATCATACTGACCCAGCATCTGGATTCATGATATTGTGTGCCATCTCATTCACCTCTAGTCTGCATATCCAGTACTTTGACCAGCCATTGTTAATTTAATGCCTATGGCCGTGCTATATCTTCAGGGTCTCCATCTCTCCACTTTTCAACAAGACGGTACAAGACTAAATTTTTACAGTCTTACAGTTCTTAAGTACAAAACGTGTTTTGATTCCAGCTTTGGTTGGTATATTCTTCGAATTTCTCACCAATTAAAGCATCTGATCAATGTTTTCAAAGAGACTGGAATGACAGCATTAACACGTTGACTGCCACGCGCATTTGACGTGGTTTGCCTATGACATCTACTTGAAATTTTTATTATGCGATGTATATTATGTTGAAATATTATCTACAGAAGATAATGTGATTTACATAATCGTGCTTAGTGCATTTTTCGTGGTGGTCTACAGATGTTTGGGGTGACCCCCCAAGACCATTTTGCGATTTATAATTTAAATTTTTACGATTTATTATTCTTCAAACCATTATAGTAACAATGATGCTATTGTTATGTGCCTTTTTTCGTGGCACCAGAATGTTATGTGCCTTTTTAGGAAAGGCACAGAAACACAAAATTTAAATTTTCCTAGCTGTCTAACCTAACTCCTATTCAAATAAAGAAATTGTGTTGTGTTTGATGCTTACCAGATTAACCCCTAATTCAAACTTTTGTGACCTGGTGAATGACATGAACAAATCAAATAAAACATACACTTAAATATTTCAATGAAAATAAGTTGGTTTATTTAGAAATGAACATCTATTAATTCAAATAATCATGTGATAAAATCAAATAAAAAAAATAGATATTCCCAGAAAAAATCAAAGAAAAGGGAGGGGGGGAAACATAAGTTTACTATACTATTGCTCATTTCTGTTGTTCTACATTCTTAGATACAAATTTAATCTTCTAATGTAACAATGCATTAATTGGCTTCTGAAGAATAGTTGCTTATAATTGGTTTAACGCTAGAAGTAAAAGCCAAATAGCACTTAGATTCCATCATTCAAGAATAGTTAACAGATCAATAAGAGATAATTAATTTTTAGTATTAATTCTCACACCAGAGTTAATATATCAGGACTTATTTTTGCACATACAACTCAATTTTTCATGAAGAATGGAAAAGACTTAGCACTTCTCTAGAGTTAAAACAATTTTAAATTTTACCGTGACAAATTCTTATCAAACATTTTCTAACTCTTACGTTTAAGGTGAATTTGATAATTACTAAGATATTTGGGATTTAGAAAATATTCAATTTGTGAAACCCACCTACAGCTCCATATAGTAACAAAACACGATTATTAATAACCTTGTCACTAAGAAAAATTTGCATTTATACTTCCTAACCAAGATTTTAATAGAACGAAATACAAGAATTAAAAACAGACTTAAGGTGATTAATTCTATGGGAAACTGATTTTGATTTTCAGAAGAAACATGTGTGATGATTTAACAAAATAGAATTGACAACAACAACAAAAAAAAAAAAAAAAAACTTATCTAATCATGTCAGGTTCCGTCAGGAGCTGGATCAACTTTGTTCCCGGAACTGGGCCATAAGAACAACCCATCTTGATGACCAAGCCAACCATGAGCATACCTCAGCTCATACGATAAAATGCTGAAACTTGGACGACTGAGATTCCACAGCATAGATGGTAAAATTCTGCAGCGTTGATGTTCAATCCGGTGGCTAGTCTCATCAAATTATCCAGATGCAGACAGCTCTCCTAGAACCGGCTCCATGAAAGTGTTCATCGGTTAGTCGTTCTCCCTTATCAAATATTTAACAGTGAGTCAGAAGATTCTCTAAGTTACTACACATGGTAATGGACTGTAGATATAAATAATAACTGCGACAGGAGGATGATGAAAATGCACTCGGGAAAAACTGTTAAACATGGCTATTATAGTAATTGCCTTGAATTTGAGAAGCAGGAACAATTAATATTTTAGTGCCCGTGAAATCTTGCTATGGGCGAATGGCCCCGTAGATTCGGCGGGAAGAACCACCGCCATTTCGTAACTCAATCCGAGCGTGCAAGAGCATGCGACAAAATCGAGCAGCAATCATAGAGTAACGAAAAGTGAAAGAAGTGTGTCCCTCAGCCTGAAAACCACCCGATTTGAAGTTACGAGCGGGTTCACCAACTTGGCATCAATCACGCTCCGCCAAGGGGAAAACCAGTTATAACACTCACCTTCCTGCATGCAAAACTTCCACCAAAACCAATCAGTTTGAAATTACAATGGATCTCCCAACTCGCCAAAACCCGCCAGCAAGGCCATGCCTAGAAGAGGGGAGAACGTTGGAATCTTGACAACCCTGGACTTCGTCCCAGAGAAACTACACTGAAGAACCCAAAAACTAAGCGTTTTGCTGGGAAAGGGAAATTTCCTCCCCCAAAGTTGAAATCACAAAAGCCGTTGCAAAAATCTGTTAATAACCATAACTTAACTTTAATTGAATTTAGAAAACCAAAAGTAATCTCAAATTAAAGATGTAATTTTTTTACATCTAATGATATCAAACGCAAAAGGTTTAAGTTAGTTCTGGTCATGAAAAACCAAGTTTATTACTTGGTCACCTATATCCATTGTCTGAGTGAGAAAGCGAAGTGGACAAAGAACGATGCTAGCTAATCTTTTCATGTAAATTCAGATAAACTAAATTGATCAAAATATACCAATAACAAACCAATAACTTAATAAAACCAAAACATGTTGTGTAGCTTAAAATTTAGAATATCGACTTGTTAAAATTTTGTTTACTGATTACTATTTAAAAATCAGTATCAATATTTACTCTAATTATGTATTTTGGTATTGGTCGCAGTGCCGATCACCGGTGGCACTCACGATGTTGTAGCCTAGTTGAGTGCTGGTTACCCTCACAGCAGTCAACATGTTAAGAATCATTGCAACAGATGAACTAATGCAATGTTAAGAATCATTGCAACTGTAGAGTAGACCTGAAGGCTATATGCAGCTGTCATCCAAGATCTGTAATGTTTTCCATACCTAGTCATATAATAGCTGCTATTATGGCCAGGGATGGATAAGTAATGCTAGGTTACTAATTTTTGTATATTTCATACCTCAAAATTGCCTGAGTTTTAGTCATTTTTTCTTGTTATTATGATATTTTTGTAAAATAAATATGATTTTGCTACTTTTTATCATGATGTGGCAATTTTAATGAGAAATAGTAAATTTTTCTAGTCATTTCAGTCAACATTGCTGGCACATGTATTGTTTATTTGCATCGTTATTTGTCGTTTTCATTCCTGTTATGTGCAGAGTTATATCATTTTTGAAAATAAATATTTGTTTGCAAAATTATAGGTTTATTTCGATAATTATGTACATACTAAATTTCTGTGGGAATAGTAATTTTTTATTGGTAACACAGTTATAATTCTCCTCGCATATAATGTCAGAATATATTCTAAAGTAATGTGATGTCAGTTCAAGAAATAAATTTATTTCATACTCAAAATTGCCTGAGTTTTAGTCATTTTTCGTATTGTTATGATATTTTCATAAAATAAATATGGTTTTACTACTTTTTATCATGATGTGGCAATTTTATGGGAAATAGTACATTTTTTTTAGTCATTTCAGTCAACATTGCTGGCATGTGTATTGTTTATTATGTGCACCATTATTTGTCATTTTTATTCCTGTTAGTGCAGAGTTATATCATTTTTGACAATAAATAATTGTATACAAAATTATAGGTTTATTTCGATATTTATGTACTTATTAAATTTCTGTGGGAATAGTAATTTTTTATTGGTAAAACACACTTATAATTTTACTCACATATAATGTCAGAAAATATTCTAAAGTAATGTGATGTCAGTTCAAGAAATAGAAGAGAATGCAAGAAAAATAGAAAAGTGGATTACATTTAATTTATTTTCAAATTTTATGCTGCTGAATTGATTTATAATGCAAAATTGTTTGGTGTCAAGTTTAGGGGAACTGAATAAAACTATGAATACTAATACATAAGAAAGGTATTCACAAACAGTGGTTTTTATTTATATGCAAATCAAAGCCTAAATAATTACATAATTAAAATGTGATAGTTCAGTTCATGATTGGTAGTCAGCATAATAAGTTTTCATTTTAAATATACCTGTGTAGTCTTAGGTTTTTTTTAAATATTTTTTGTCAGAAAATGCCGCTGCTTCAAATGAAGTTGACATTCCTAACGAGACTGGACCTCATAATCTTGAAGGCAGCAATCGCTCCTCTGAAAGAAGTCGCCGTGCCACAGGTTGGCCGTCAGGTAGTGGGAGCCACCCTTTGCCTTCTCAGACAGAAGTGCATACAGAAGAAGATGAAAGTAAGATATATTATTTTTATTTATAATTTTGCATTTTCAGAATTAATCCTCTGATCAATAGGGCCACATTTAATCTGGCAGTGAGATTCGTAGCAGATTTATATAGCCCTGTTATTCAAATAGTTCATGAAGAAATAAATGAGCCTAAATAGATTGTAATATCAATGAACATTTTTAATGACAGAGATTAACTTAAACATAGTTGCATACAGCAGAGAAAAAAGGGCGAAGAAGTAAGAATGGTATACATATACATACATACGTAATAAACAGTTACGTCATCATTCATCACCGCGCGGATAAACGCGAACGGCGCATGCGTCAGGAGAAGCTCTCTTAAGCTAAACGTCGTATTATAATTTATGATACAACAATCCCCCTTTCGACGTTTGGCGGCTGAAAAAAAAATAAACATTAATCATTTACAGTTATTCCAATTAATTTACAGCACTTAGAATGTTTCGAAGCAGTCAATGTTTTTTGTCAGTACATCAGCAGGCATTTTCTCTGTTGGCACATATTTAACGTCTATTTCATTTTTTTTCATAAATTTCACGAATGAAATGATGTCTAATATCTATGTGTTTAGTGCGTGAGTGATAAACAGCATTTTTTCATAAGCTTTTGTGCACCTTGATTATCACAATATATAATGGTTGGATAATCAGCAGTAAAATTTAATTCTTTAAGAAAACGACGTAAATAAACTGCTTCTTTGGCACTTTCTGAAAGACTGATGTACTCTGCTTCAGTACTTGATAATGCAACAGTTTGTTGCTTTCGTGATTCCCATGTTATCGGATTTCCAGCTAGCTTGAATAGGTAACCTGTATACGATTTTCTAGTATTAACATCAGACGCCCAGTCGGCATCGGTATATCCAATAAGTGCTTTTCCAGTCTTTCGAAATTTTAAACAATAATTTTTAGTTCCTTTTAAGTATCGAAGAATGTGCTTTGCAGCCAACCAGTGTAATTTTCCAGGATTGTTATTAAATTGGCTCAGGTGACTGACGGCATATGTAATATCCGGCCTAGTAAACACAGAAAGATACATAAGCGAACCAATTAGACAGCGATAAGGTGCATTGTTCATTTCTTCCTTTTCAGTTTCAGAAGACATTTCTCACACAGACAGACACATTTCTTTACTTAATTTTACACTAGGATCTAAAAGAGTTGCTACCGGTTTTGCATCTTGCATATTAAACCTTCGTAGAATATTATCAACATATTTCTGCTGAGATAAACTAATAGAATTATTATGTACATCTTGATTAAATTCTATTCAAAGACAATAATGAAGTTTGCCTAAATCTTTAACATGAAATTCTTTAGAAAGATAACCTTTAAGTTCAGCATATAAATCACAGCTATTTGTTGCTATAATTAAGTCATCAACATATAAAATTAGAATTAACTCATCTTGAGATGTTTTCATCCTGTATACACACTTATCTGATGGTAATGGTTGTAATCCAAAGTTTTTGAGTTTTTTGTCTAATTTTTTCATATCACTGTCGTCCACTTTGTTTCAAACCATAAAGAGACTTTTGCAAAGCATAAACATAATCAGGATTATTTTGGTCTTCAAAACCTTTAGCTTGTTCCATGAAAATTTCTTCTTTTAAATCTCCGTTAACATAAGCCATAACAAAATCTAGTTGATATAACATAAGGTCTTGTTCAGCACTGTATGCAATCACAGTTCTTATAGAACTTGCTCTGGCTACTGGAGCAAAGGTTTCATTAAAATCAATTCCAGGTTCCTGTGCAAATCCTCTAGCAACCAATCGAGCTTTTCTCTTTTGAACTGTTCCATCTGCATTATATTTCGTTCTAAGAACCCAGCGACATCCTATTACCTTTTTGTTGTGTGGTCGCTTTACTAATTTCCATGCACCATTTTTAACAAGTGCTTCATACTCACTTTGCATAGCCTTATGCCATTCTTCAGCATAACTTCCATTTAATGCTTCTTCTAATGTCGGATTTGTATCTTCTTCAGCAATTTGTGCTTCTTCCTTTTCTATGTTTATATTGTGGTACTCCTTTTTTGGTCTTCCTGGCTTCCCAGTCTTGACTTTCTTTGGACGACCTGGCCCCCTTTTAATCTGCATTTCAGGTAGTGCTTCGGAATCAGAATCTTCATTATCAGATGATTCAGCAGATGCTTCTGCCATATTTGAGGGGTCTTCTGTTATTTCATCAGCCGATATTTGCTTTACATTCAGAGGTTCTTCCTTCTTTTTTATCAGGAATATTTTCGAGAAATAAAACTTCTAAATCTTTATCATAATTAGTACAGTTTTCAAATTCATCAATGAATCTAACATCTCGGCTTATAACGATTTTTCTGGAATTTTTATTCCACAGCCTGTATGCTTTCGATTCATTTGAGTATCCTACAAATATATGTTCTTCTGATCGAGGATCGAATTTCCCTTTAGACCTTTTATTAAGTACAAAACATTTCTGTCCGAATACTTTGAAGTGAGATACAGTTGGCTTGATGCCAAAAAATAATTCATAAGGTGTTTTGTTTACTCCCAGGCTTCGATTCGGGCAACGATTACGAATATAAACAGCACAGTTCAAGGCTTCAGCCCAAAAGGATTGGGGAAGATTACTTTGTAGTAACAAACATCTGGCCATTTCAGTTAAAGTGCGGTTCATGCGTTCAGCTCTCGAATTCTGTTGAGGAGTCATTGGTTGGTGCAGAGAATTCTCGTTTAATCCCGCATTCTTGAATATATTTATTAAATTCTTCTCCGCGATATTCGAGACCGTTATCAGTCCGAAGGATTTTTATTTCTTTTTCTTTCCTAGACGATTTTCGACCGCAGCTTTGTATTTAATGAATGCATTTTTCACTTCATCTTTAGTTTTAAGAAAACTGACTTCGACATAACGCGATTTGTCGTCTATGAAAGTAACAAAATAACGCGAACCAGCATGGGATGGGACTCTCATAGGTCCACACAAATCTGAGTGAATCAAGTTCAGTAATTCATCACTTTGAAATTTTGATTCTTTTTGAAAAGGTTGCACAGTTTGTTTACCTCTCGGATACAGACTTTGCAGTCTTTTAGAGATTCAGTGTTATTAAAATTTAAATTTCTAACCATGTTATCAGACTTAAGTCTTTTCAAATCAGACTCATTTAAATGACCTAATTTAAGATGCCACTTTACAAAATCACTTACCTGTGCTATTGCAGCTGTTTCAGTGCTTGGATGTATATAATAAAGATCACCATGACGAATAGCCTGCACTAGTATAGATCCATTTGGTTCTATTATTCTAGCATGTCGTTCTGTAAAAATCACTGAACGATTATTTGCAGTAGCTTTAGATGTTGACAGCAAATTACATTTTAATTCCGGAACACATAACACATTTTTGAGCGTAAGTTTAATTGTCTTATTTCCGTTAGGTACTGTTATAAGGACAGTTCCAATTCCTGTAATTTTTGCTGTTTTGTCAACTGCTAACTTTATGGTTGAATTCGTTCGAGGGTGAAATTCTGAAAATAACCTTCTGTCATTGCACATGTGAGATGTACAGCCACTATCTAAGCACCATGAGGAGGTCTTCTGATAAGCATTGTTTACTGCTAAACTAATCTGCTCTTCATAATTAGAAGCCATCATAGAACCTTGATTTCCCTTATTTGATTGCGCATATTTTCTATCAGCTATTTTCTTTCTGCATTCAGATGCCTTGTGCCCAATTTTCGAACAGTAATTACACTTCAAGTTTCGAAAATTTCTTTCAGCTGGAAAATTTTTGTTTGAATTTACCTTCCATTTTTCATTTTTCTTCTGTTCTTGATTTCTTCTTTTATAATCAGTATAGTATGCATTCTGTGAATCTTGAGACGTTTTCCCTTTTCTTGCTTCCCATTCTTCTAACATTTTGATTTTCAAAGATTCGGGACTAGGTAACTGATCTCTTGATTCGATGGCGCATCTAAAATTTTCAAAATTTTCTGGAATACTATAGAGCAGAAGAATCGATAATAAATCATCAGCTATGTCAATTTCCATTTGTTTAAGCTTATCAACTATTTCGAAGAAATTATTCAAATGTTCAGACATCGTTTCGCTTTCCACCATTTTTCTAAATAAAAGCTGTTTTAATAATGTAGCCTTCTTCGCAGGTCCTTTCGATTCATATACGGCTTTGAGTTTATTCCACACAGCATTTGATGTCACACAATGCTTTATATGACACAGTTCACTAGGATTAATAGCAAGAATTATATCTGCGCGAGCTTTTTGATCAGCTTGGAGCCATTTCTTTTCGTCTTCGGTTCCTTCAGCAGGTTTTAGCACTTTACCGGTTACATAATCCCAATGGTCGTTTTTAATCAATACTGCTTCTATTTGTAATTTCCAACTGTCAAAATTATCTTTTCCGAGCTTTTCTATAGTAGTCAAATGCGACATAATGTAATACAGTCTCTCACAGCCAAAAAAAAAAAAAAAAAACAAGATTGAGCGCTATAAAAATAGGCTTAACTGAACGCTGATCAGTTCTTACCGTTGATTAGACGTAACAGTTCTTGCACTGAATTAGGCTTAAGAGTTCAATGCTCGAAAACTTCAAAATGTTCATTTTAAAATAAGTATTTTGCTAATTAGGCACAGTTGAAACGTTCCTGGGCCCATAACCATTGAAGAAATAAATGAGCCTAAATAGATTGTAATATCAATGAACATTTTTAATGACAGAGATTAACTTAAACATAGTTGCGTACAGCAGAGAAAAAAGGCGAAGAAGTAAGAATGGTATACATATACATACATACGTAATAAACAGTTACGTCATCATCACCGCGCGGATAAACGCGAATGGCGCATGCGTCAGGAGAAGCTCTCTTAAGCTAAACGTCGTATAATAATTTATGATACAACAGTTCATATTCTTATATGCTTAAATCATACTAATCTATATCTAAATCTAATGAAATCTAAATGAAATGAGATCTAAATGAAAGGAAACTTATCTAAATCTAATCTAAATCTAATGAGATCTAAATGAAAGGAAACTTATGAAAATAATAAATGAAGTAAATAATTATATGCATGAGTGGGGAAATTAAAGAAACAACAAACTTCAAAAGCTGCTTTATGTAAATTCTGTTAAGTCCAGTGAAAAGAAGTGGGTAGCTTAAGGTCAGTATTATCATATAGTCTAAAGGAATTCACCTTTGCTGCACAAAACTCTGTAATTTTTTTTTTTTTTTTTTTTTTTTTTTTGGACATATGTGGAAAGATATACATACATATTCTAACAACATACAACATATTCTAATTTCAAGAATTATAAAAGTAATTGGATAAAATTTTCACATGTAAGTAGAATATGTTGTTGAGAAATTATTTGACGGATTGTGGAGAATGGCATGCCATTGAGAGAATGGAAGCAGGACAGAAACTGACACAGGTCTGTAAAAATTTGAAAGTAGCCCAAAGCTCATCTTTAATCTGGAAATGGTTAAAAGACACTGCGTAAAAGACAAGCATATTCAGACAACTGGTCAAAATTGAAAACGTGTTGTAATAAACACTTGGAACCATTATTTGTATGATGACTGCCATACAAAATGATCAACTGACATCAGCCTATATTGCAATGATGCTTGTTGCAGCTATTTTAGCATGACTATCCAGATGTACCATGAGTGACAGACTATATGCTAGGAAACCTATGATTTATATCCCCTTAACTTGCACTGCTAAATGAACCCATTTGCATAGGTGCAGAGATTGTCATGAGTATCATGAATAGAAATCAAGTTCACTTTATGATTGGAGTTTGTGAATTGGAGTCAAGTTTTCATTTTTATTTAGAGGGAGTAAAACATGTAGTAAGCCTGAAAATATCTGTGAAAGTCATCGATTCAAAAGTGGCAAAATCACACTATGTATGGACATCTCATTTTGAATAGTTGCACTAACCTACACATTTTGACCTGGCTGCATTGACCTGCATACTGTGGAATTAAGTTTGATTTGAATTTTACCAGCGCTACTGTGAATGTTGAAATATGCTCAGTTAAAGTTATAATGAAGTTTATGATCCTTAGGCCAAATTGTTTAGGGATGCAATTGGTGACTGTTTTTTCCTAATTTCAGTTTAAGCTTCATTGTTATTTTAATCATAAAAAATTTTATTTTATGTGTTCCTGATGTATTTACACAATCCATGACTGTAATATGCTCTTTAGATTATTTGTGCGTGGGAGTGGACTTTTCCTTTGATGAAGCAAACATTTTTCATGGCAGACACTTCCAGTATGGGCCTGTCTCATCTGCATTATAGATTCAATTAAGTAGCAAATATTCTTGTTTCAAATATTCTTGAAAATCAATGCAGAATCTATCAGCAGTTTCAATGCAACCACTGAGATGTTCTCCTTGTATTATGAATTTATACCATATTCTTGCTTAAATTCTGTAAGCCATCTTGATGAGGTCTTAAGGTTGCCTTGTAATCCCAACTTTTCATGGAAGACCTTGACCTTTGATTTCTCCATGCACATTTGACCACTGATTGACATTTCTGCGCATTTCTGGTTCATAATCTCTTGTGAAGGCCTCTAATTTCTTCCCCCCTTTTTTGTTTAATAATATCATTAACAGTTTTCTCTCTAATTCCATTTTATTCATTGAATTTTATCGTCAGTTCATCATATTCATATCTTTTGATTTTTTGAAAAGTTTTGAAAAAGCAATTTTTTTACACTAAGTACTTCCAGCATGTTCTTTATTAATTTTTTAGCTCTAAAATTTTAGATAAATTTTAAAAGAATGAAAAAAAGAAAATATGCACGGAAATACATATGAAACAAAATATCCATGTGATCAACTGAAACAGTGCTTTCAACTATGCACATGCAAAATCAATTACATGAGGTAATCATTGAAACTAAACAAAGATGCAATTCAGCTGTTTATAGAGAATGCTCAGACTTGTGTGTGTTTGTTTTTCATACATTCTCATGTATAGTGTTGAGTGTGCATGCATGATAATTCAAAAACTGACTAATCTGCTTTCATATAACCAAGAGTACACTGTACTTTACAAGGACAATCCATTGCAAAAGTTAAAGTTTCTGATGCAAATGTTTGAGCAAAGTATCCAAAAGTATTCAAATTGAGATACATGTGACCTAGTTCTACTCTCAACCTTTCGAGATAGACAGTTGCCATTTTGCCAGCCATATACATTAAGACCTAACTTAATGCTGGGGATTGTTCCTATAAGGTCCAGTGTTAAGTGAAAGAGCATTTCAAATTAAAAGACGGTAAGTTTGAGTTTAATGATTTCTAGTTTTCAAAAATGCTGTAGTCTGTAACTCATCAAATAAACAATGAAAGCCTACCTGTTCAGACATTTTTAATTTGTGTTGTGATGTGATAATTAAAGAATAATAAGTGAATCATGTTTGGTTAGATATGAATGTAAAATTTCTAACAGTCATATGAAATTGAAATTCCTTGTTTTTTGCGTTTATTAGATTTTAATTGCTGTTATTAGTGTGTATTGCATTTGTAGCTTTCAAGTTCATTGCAATGTTGGCTGAGAACTGTTGGTTGCTTTATTAAATATATTACTGGTTTACTTCAAAAGTGCTTAATCTGGATTTGTAGTAGTTTGCTAAAAAGCTATTATGCAGCCAATTTCTTTAAGGTTCTTGTAGTCACTAGACTAATACTGTAAAGGGCTGACAGTTTTATTATGCATTCTATACCTTGGTAAGACAATGTGTTTGTTAAGTATTTTCATGGGTTTTTTTTTCCCACGTATATATAAATTTGGACATTTGCCTGTAATATTCCTCCATGAAAGCCAACTTCTCTGCAGAAAAATAGCTCTCGGTCTAGCATCAGTGCTGTGCCTTTAAGCTTTTTTGTCTTCATAAAACTTTCTTTAAAATGTTTAAGGTTTTCAGACTGTTTATTTTATGCTGCTGGAAAGGCCTAAAAAATATGACTGCATGTGAATAAAATGTCAAAAGATGTAGCAATTTAGCAAAACCTACAATATTATATAATTTCTAATACATTTCTGTTAATATAAAGCATTGTGTTATATGTAAATTAGAGAATTTTTGTATTTGAAATGGGGAAAATACAGATTTAGTTATAACTTAATATTTATACTTTTCCAGGAGGTGTGAAACTTGGTCTTGGTGATTTCATATTTTATAGTGTTCTAGTTGGGAAAGCATCATCATATGGGGACTGGAATACAACTCTGGCATGCTTTGTTGCAATATTAATAGTAAGTCTGAAATGATACTTCATGTTAAATATGTTTTAGCACATTTCATTATTTATTACATTTTAGCTTGATCAAATGATAAAACATTAGTTATCAGTATTATGTATTTTTTGTTTATTGTAAAAGAGTAATTTGCATTAAATATTGTAGAAAGTTTCCTAATGATATATTAAGATATTCTCAAAATAAATTTCTTTTGTTTTATGAATATATATATATTAAATTGTGGGTTGTTTCAGAAAAGATTCAGCTAAACATTTTGATCTGTATTTTCTAGGGTCTATGTTTGACATTGTTGCTACTGGCAATTTTTAAGAAGGCATTACCAGCTCTTCCAATTTCCATTACATTTGGTTTAATATTTTACTTTACCACTAGTTCCTTGGTGCAGCCCTTTGCAGACAGTCTAGCTAGTGAACAAGTATACATCTAAAATGAACTCTGAAACTGGACTTTGTTTTTTATTTCTGTAAATGTCAATATGTTGTAACATATTTATTTCTGTATTTTATTTTCTTACTTCCTAGGTCATTTAAATGGTAAAAGCATGATGTAAGATAATTGAAGTTTTTATAAATTAATTAAGGGACTCGGTTTTATTTTAAAAATGACCTGCATTAAATGTTCGTTGTGAAAATAATTGCCTGATTATCTTAATTTTTGGGGCAAGCTTTATAAATCTATTAATATGGTTTAAAAGGAATGCTGTTTTTTTTAACTTAACTAACACCGTCAAAGCATTTTATTTTATATATAAAACTATCGAATTTTAAAATTGCTTTTCATTTTCGTACTTATTAATTTTCAAGTTTTTAATTAGGTCATTTGAAGTCAGTATTCTTCTATTTCTGTATTGTTTTCATTCATGTTGTTGATATTTAAAGATATCATATTTGTGCAAATGTTCATTTAATTCACATGTAACATAATTTATTATGCAGATTGTAATAACATTGGATTTCATAAAATATTTGTCAATCTTTCATTGAGAAAATTTATTTAATTAACCGTGTGTATGGATTCACTTTTTATTAAACTTATATATAAAATATAGTCAGTATAATGTAAAAGCACTCAGTAGTAATATTATGGTGTTTCATGGTTTTAGCATCTCAGCTGCTAGTAGACCAAATCGTTAAGTTTTATAAAACTTATACTATTAAAAGGTACATCACTTGAAAATCTTAAAGAAATGGAAGCACATAACTGAACTTTTCAAAAATTTTGTATATATTGATGATATTTTATGGTATTGATTTTTTTTTTTTTTTTTATATTGATGATATTTTAGTAAGTACTAGTGAAAAAGCATCACATCAATTTCTCAAGTAATCAAAGATGTAAGGAAAAGTTGTCAATTAACAGATCTGGGTAAAACTAAATATTTCGTCAAAATGGAAATAATTTTTTAAAAAATGCAAGTGGTGTCCTATCTTAGAAAAATAAGCTAACCTGAAGAAGCCAAATCCTCTAATACATCCAGGAAACATATTTTTGTAACTTAGTAAGAAAATCATTTACCTTTTAATAATAAATATCACCAGACTATTGGAAATCTTATATTCTATATCACCTATCACAAATCCAGATATTATTGTACCAATACACATATGTAGCAGATATAGTAATAATCTGCATCAAAGAGATCAACATGCAGTGAGAAGAGTAACTAGACATTTTAAAACACAACAAACAATAACAACAAAATCTATTGAAAACACCGCATTGACTTCCTTGTAGGGCTTGTGAAATATTCTTTTCAGAACAGTAATAAACTGACATTAAATATTGTTTGATATTTGTAACAGTAAACTGATATTAAGTTAATTCAGAAATCAAACAACAAAAATCAGCGTTATATTTTCAAATTTTCGCAGGATAAGTTTCGATGGTTTTACCAAACCATCATCCTCAGCTATAAAAGCGTAAATGAACGAGATAGTTATGAACGAGAAAGTTAATTTTTTAAAAACTTGACATTGCCAAAACATGAGTATTTTTATCATTTAAAACACTGTTATTGGAAGTATATGACTACGACCAATGATTGCAAAAGTAAAGGCTGGATAAGGATATATGTGTATACAGTCAAAAGTCATTAATTCGGACACCCATAATCCGGATCTCAAAGCTAAAAACTTTCTGCGCATGTGCCGCTTTGGCACATGCGCACAGGCATTTTACGCGTGCGCGCAAGACCTTGACTACTGCGCATATGCGTGTACGCAAGGGCAGAGTACGTTTTCGCCTGCGCATTTAATGTATAGACGGTGTAAGCTAAAATTATCTAATTATCTATTTCAGTTAATGTTAATGATTGTGTTGTTCCTTAATCTTCGAATTGGATCCCGCTTATTATTTTTTGCAGACTGTAAGAGCAATTTTATAAAAGTAAATTTGAATTTTCGATTATGTCAAATAGAATTTCCGATGCTGGAACTTCCAAAGGATCTACAAAACGAAAGTATGTTTCGATGTCCAACAAACAAAAAGTGGAATTGCTGCAAAAAATGGATAAAGACATGAAGAATATGACAGAGAGGTTAGTGAAAACGAAAAAATTTCGATTGACAAGTTAGTCGGTATTCTCAGCACAGCAATTAACGGGACTTGAACAGCGGGACTTTGTAACTGAACAAGAAATTATGTCTGTTTATAGAATTAAAGAGAAAGTATTATCACATAAAATGAAGCAACTTAAACAAGTTACATTAAAAGAAATGTTTAATAAAGTAAGCAAATATATATTATGCTTTTTTTTTTTTTTGTGTGTGTGTAAATTTTGATACCCTTTAGATCATAATTGTTCTTTATTTCATAAATTATGGTTTCATATTTTTAATTTTAGAATTTCTGCATGCCATCTTACGAGATTTAAACTGATGATCTATAATCCGGAAAAATTGATAATCCGGAATCGCCGAAGTCCCGATGAGTCCGGATTAACGACTTTTGACTGTATATGGTATATCATAAACACACATCCTTACCCAGCCTTTGTATACAGTACAAAATCCGTAATCCGTACTCGTCGAGACTTCGGTGATTCCGGACTATAGATCATCAATTTAAATCTGGTAAGATGGCATGCAGAAATTATACAATTAAAATATGAAATCGTAATTTATGAAATAAAGAGCAATTATGATCTAAAGGGTATTAAAATTTACAAAAAAAAGCTTAATATTTATTTGTTTACTTTATTAAACATTTCTTTCAATGCAAGTTGTTTAAGTTGCTTCGTTTTTTGTGCTAAACGTGCATGCGTAAAGCATACCAAAAAAAAAAGTTTGTGGCTTTGATGTCCAGATTATAGATCATTCTGGATAATGGACTTCCGGATGATAGACTTTGTACTGTATGTATATGAGATAATATATAAATCAAAATTATAATTGAAACTAACCCCCTCTCTATTGTAAAAATCGTAATAACTTCTCTGGATTGCATAATTTCTAGATCAATCCGTCTTGCACGGTTTCCGTTACGCTATGACATCTAATTTAGAACCTGAACTCACAATTTTGAGAACTGAAACGTTTTCTGAACTAAACCAAATCCTTCCTCTTGGTGAGCTTGCATATTGAATAAATGCACCACTTTTAGCTTCAACTTCTGTGCTGCATGGATACTTTGCTATGCTGCTTCTTATCGCCATAGTATCAAAAATGTCAATGTTTGGGAAATAGGTACAATTGGAGTGCCAAGTGAATTTGTAGCCACAAATGTGAATTTAAATAAAACAGAATTTAATCTGGCTGGACTTAATATGAGTCAACACTATGCATTAAATATTTATGCTATCAGTATTTCTATGCGTCAGTGTTCCTATATCAATGCTTCAAAATTGTGCTTTCATTACATATATATGTTTGATACTATATATGTAATGAAAAAATTGAAGAATGAAAGATTGCAATAAAAAAAAAAAAGGAAGCGCACAACTAGCTGTTATAGCAGTCCCACATACAAAATTTCAATGTTCCATGGCTGATTGTTTTTGAGTTGTGTGGAATGCATACATACGTCAGAAAAAAAAAAAAAAAAAAAAAAACCTTTTAAATTCATTTTAAATCTATTTTACAATCTGTTTTGGAAAAAAGAGTCCTTTCTAGTATCTGTACTACAGAACTCGCACAAAAATCGTCCAAATGGATTCAGGAGCAGCTGTTGCTTTGAATAAGAGGATCAATTACTGTAGATGTTAGCAATGCTAGGACCAGCAGCTGCAACGTACATTCCCAGATTCAGGTATAGGACTAACCATCCCAATGCTACACAGCTGCCACAGAACAGTCTCTAAGCTGGGTGCGATACCTTATTGAAATTCCAGACCACACTATGATGCTGACACATTTGAATGCATGATGGTCTGTTCCTGTTTCTGTATGCCTCATTCTCCCCACTCCCTTTCACATTTATCATCTGATTCCAAGAAAAGAATCCATGAAAAGAGTAATTACCAGTCTGAAAAACTGCTATTAAGATGTTGATGACATCTCTTTAATCTTGCCCCTCTGGATTCGTCAGTTAGTGGAACATAAACACTTGATATTCATGCACACAAGTATTGGCAGATATTATTTTAATTTCTACTTGACTTCTGTAGCAATATACCGTTCTTCGAAAGGAGTGGTAACCGTTAATCATCCGGGCTTAGGTTTCTAGACAATGAATTGTTTGGAGCTACTATTTGAGAAATTTTTGAATGACCACCGCCAAAAATAAGAGTGATGTCTGTGACTGACTGTCCTGTTTCAATGCATCTGCAGTATACCAGCACTCATTATTTGCCATTTGTCTTTTTTCAGCCACAGAAACACGACTATCATAAAAAAAATTATCCTATCAAAGTTATAAACACTTCATTCTAGCATTTAAATGAATCTCTTCAAACTCTTCAGAATGCTTATGTCTTCAACAACTGCCTAATTAGCATATGATTGGACAGTCAATCATGATTAGTTGTAACATATGATATTTGCATCTTGCCATCTATATCTGCAGTGATCTTCAGTCTCCGGAATTCAGCTATGCTTTTGAAAACTAACAGTGTGCATTAACTTCCAACAGTAATAAGTGGAGTGAGGAGTGATCTATGAAAATACTAGTTAAGGGGCTTTCCCTTGATGCAGATGAATATGAAATTGAATCGAATTTGCCAAAAGTTAATTTAAAGCCAAAAGGGAGCTACTTTTCAGATGCGGATGAAGCATTCACTTCCCATTGTGTAAATCTTCCCAGAAGAGAGCATGGAAAAATATCTGAAACCAAAGATCTTACAATTGGTTGTTACCATAGAGAAATATAAGGTGAAGGTTGGTGTATCTCAGTGCCTTGCATCACACAAGCAAGGACTTTAAATTAGCATTTGATGTGTTGAATGTGGACTAGATCATTGAAAGCAATATTGCCCTAAACAGGGATAAAATACTGAGCTCAAGTGTTATGAGCAGAGCCTGGATTTTGATAACCTAAAAATTCACTGAAAATACATTTAAAATAAAAAAAAATGCTTTTAAAAATAAAAAGACCCCCCAATGATAAAAAATAATAATGTAAACAATTACGCAAGACAATTAACAAACACTGAGATATGATCGAAACCCAAATAATTAGACATAGCTGTCACTTGAAATTTTCTTCCCCCCCCCCCTTTTTTTTTTTTTTTTGAATGTTCAACCTTGCACAATGTATCACAATAATTGCACTTAATTATTAAAGTGCTTGATATTTCGAAAGTGAAGGATCTGTTATCAGTGCGTGTTGCTTATTAAATTCATCTGCTTATTATGTTCAAATTTCCATGAACCAAAACAAAAATATGTATGAATCAATGGAAAAACTGCTGTTTGTTAAACTTACCTCTGACACTTGATGAAACTTAAAACTGAAAAAGACTGATTCTTCAGATCTAGAATAAACTGTTTGTGGCTGATAAAAGCTAATTGTAGTTCATTCATTTATCTTTCAGTTATGTAGTGC